ATATTTTTATTTATTTCTAGGAGAGAGAGAGAGAGAGACAGCGTGAGCAGGGGAGGGTCAGAGAGAGAGGGAGTCACAGACTCTGAAACAGGCTCCAGGCTCTGAGCTGGCAGTCAGCACAGAGCCCGACGCGGGGCTCGAACCCACAAACCTCGAGATCATGACCTAAGCGAAAGTCGGATGCTTAACCAACTAAGCCACCCAGGCGCCCCATTAAGATTTTATTTTTTAAGTAATCTCTACAACCAACGTGGAGCTTGAACCCACAACCCTGAGATCGAGTCGCATGCTCCACTAAGCCAGCCAGGCACCCAAGGTGTATTTTAAAAGGTACAGATATGGGCAAGGTAAGACAAATATTTACAACTTAACTGTTTCTCATATTTCATTAGACCAAATAATAGCTAAAGCCAGATGAGCCTCGAATTGTCTGGTAAAGTCAAGCAGCAGAGATAAATAAAATCTAATCTCTGGAGCCATAGGGAAGTCACCCAGCCTTATCTGCAGATCATAGGGATCAAGGTTTGTCTAGAATGGCCTCTCCAGGAAGCTGTGCAGGACTCCGGAGTCTGGAATCAGCGCACCCACTCACTGGCCTCGGCAAGCACAGACTTGCCTCCCAGTGAAATTGCTGATTCCTCTGAGGACCTTGGCCTTCTTTGTCTCTCCCGTCCTCCTTTTAACTCCTCTGCAAGTTGATCATGGCTCCCTACTTCTGCAACACCTTGATCTCATGGTCTGAAACTGGAATTTCCTCTAGATCTTTCTATGAACCTCTCTTGACAGTCTCACCAAACCCCTTCCCTTTTTGGCTCTGATCTCCCTCTCAATCACTTAGCCCACCTAGGCAGAGCTACAGCTGCCAGTGTCTGCTCAGAGTTGCCTTTCTTGGCTCTGATGTCCACAGCTGCACTGGCTTCCAAATGCACACGCGTGGCTGGCCCCTACCAGTCTCATGGCTTTCTGGACCCTGGCCTTCTTGCAGACATAGGGTCTGCCACTCTGTCACTAAGGCTCATAGTGTCTGCAGGGGTCCCGGCAGGAATGTCCCCAGATCAGCCTGAAGGCTGAGGCGTAGCTGTGACCTGTTTTGCTGTTTTTCTTGGCTCTAATACTGAAATTTTAATATCTTTATATAGAAATCCCAGAAAGCAGAAGTATTCTTCTCTAATGTTTTGTAAATAACTTTGCTAATATCATTCTAGTGCTCATATGTTGACTAGCACTCTACCACCTGCCAAAGCTGGGTAATAATGAAAGTAAAATCTCTCTTACAGACCACAGTAGGCTGGGTAATGTGCTACATGCTTTACATACATATCTCACTGAATCAAGGATATACTATTATCCCCACTCTAAAGATGAGGAACTTGAGGGACAGCTAGGAAGTTTCAATAAATACGCCATCTGGCTGATAAGTCATATACTAACCACAGTGCTGTACTGTATCTCTAACTTTTTTCCCCTAATCTCTTTTCATTATGTTTTTTTTTAATTTTTTTTAAAATGTTTTTATTTATTTCTAGGAGAGAGAGAGAGAAAGACAGCGTGAGCAGGGGAGGGTCAGAGAGAGAGGGAGACACAGACTGAAACAGGCTCCAGGCTCTGAGCTGGCAGTCAGCACAGAGCCCAACACGGGGCTCGAACCCAGGAACCACAAGATCATGACCTAAGCGAAAGTCAGACGCTTAACCGACTAAGCCACCCAGGCGCCCCTTCATTATGTTTTTTATTATGGAAACTTTCAAACATATGCAAAAGTAGAAAGAGCAGCATTATAAACTACCACAACCAAACACCCAGCTTCAACCACCATTAAAACAGCCAATTTATTTCACCTATATATTCCCATTCATTCTCTTTCCACCTCCCATCCCTCCCAAACTGGATTATTTTGAAGCAAATTCTCAATATCACATCATTTCAGGTGTAAATATTTCAAAATCTATCTCTAAAATATGTAACATTTCTACCTCTAATAAGGCCCCGAAAACACTTGTTAGCCTGGCTTCTGAATCACCAGGTTCTAACTAACTAGATTATCTCCGATTACGACCACACATGGGTTCTGCTCTTAGCCTGTGAGCGAAGGGTGTCTCAGAGCATCTGAGTGAAAAGACTTTCAGGTGATTTGTAAAACCTTAGGTTGCCGAGCTCTACTCCAGACCTTCTGGATCAGAATTTCTGATAAGGCCCAAGGGTCTACATTTTGATAAGCCTCCCCAGGTAACTGCTGTATACTCTAAAGTTTGAGAGCTTTAGATACA